TTATCTAGGCCTATTATATTATTGCACACCTCTTTACAATGCACATATCTCTCAAAGTGAGTCTTTTGTGTAGCTTAGCATGAGGTAAACAGAGTAAACTGTATGTAATTTGAATTTAGATAAGTAAAGTCACCTTAATGCTCTCGCTCTGTAAATCTCCTTGGTCTAAAAGTCTTGACGGGAATATCAGGTGTCGTTCTGTTGCTTCAGAAAACAAACACCCCTCTCCTTCTCCTGCCTCGCTCATCTTTTCTGTCTTCTCCTCTTCTCCATTTTTTTTTTTTTGTTCACTCTGTCTTCCTCTTTCACTGCTATTCAGTCTCTTCACCGTGTCATATATTGCACAGTGTATTGCTGCACACCTGCCAAAGCTCATGAGAGCGCATGAAACAAAGTGGATCAGAAGTTATTTAGGTCAGTGGTTCAGGTGAGCACCACTGAGTCAAAAAAAAAGAAAAAAAAAAAAGCCTGTCTGCACTACAGTAGGACATGGATCAATTCACTGTCTCTTGACCCCCACGATGGTATCTTGGTGTGTGTGTGTGTGTGTGTGTTTGTGCGCATGTACAAGCCTCTTCGTGTGGCCATGTGTTGACAGTGTGTAAGTGCATTCAGCATTTAATCGTGACCGATTTAATTAATTTCCAGGCAGACTGCTGAGGCCCAGACTCTCCCTAATCACTTCAGATCTTTAGCCAATGCCATCACTCTGATCCTGGGCTTTTTTTTTTTTTTTGTGCTGGGCCATTTATTGATTAAATACATGTGGTGAGAAACCAAGACAATAATCAATGTTGATAACTGTATGCCCATTTAAGCCAGACTCTAAGATCAGATTGGTGTTATTTTTAACTGGAAGCTGCTTACAGATGAAATTCATGCTAATTTACAATAGCTAAGCTCTGACCTGACACTACAATATAACAGATGAAAATGCATATATAATAGAAAAACTGAAGGAAAAAAAAAAAACCAAGATATATTTAAAATATAAAAAAGGGGGTGGAAATCATCTGAAATGATTCTGCAACACTACAGACAGATGAATATTTCTACAGGTGGGTCTCAACCACCTTGAGGCAAAAGGAGTCTGGTCCACACACTGACACCAGTTAAGAGCATGAAAATGAAGGAGCCACCATCCTGCCTCAAGTCGACAACCATGACTAATTTGAGGGCCAATATCTTCCCAAGTCATCTGCAATTCATCGGCCTTACCATTATTCTAACCAGCAGCTGATTGTGTGTGTAGGCCTCAGTCAGGTATCCTCACAGAGGCCTGCAAAAGCAGTGTGCTAAAAAAGCAACGTGTCAAAAAAAATCTCTCTCTTTGCACGCGAGATCCCACTTTATCTGCCATTCCGTCCCTTCAGTCCAGCTGTCAAATTCTCAGAAACGCCTGACTGGTGCGTCAAAACCTCGCCATTTGCCTTTATTTGTATTTGTATTATTATTTTTTTTGCCAAAAGCTTTGCGCCCACCTCCCTTACCTGCCCGCTCCCACCCCTTCTCCCCTTGAGCATCCCTCCACTCTTGGTCTCTACACACCTCGCTATATCCCCATTCCTCCGGAGGCAAATGCCGGAATGCTCCATCAGTCGTTTCACCTTCACAGCGAATCAATAACATGGCCACACAGCGGCTTACAGGGATGGACGCTGGCACGGCGCAGCTTACACCCGCCTTTTCTCCCTCAGCACCATCTACTCCTACCGAGCATCCGTCATTTTAGCACCAGAGCAAAGGGGAATTATAGGATTCGCCACAGTGAAAGCCTCCCGATCTCACTTGAAGGCTTGTGATGCAAAAAATGTGAAGGGCACAGCCATGCCTGCGCCGGCTGCTGATGCAACTACAGCCACAGCCGCTTTATTATCTCTCGGTCAATTCAGCCAATGCTTTAGGGTGATGGAGAGTCGTGAGCATGAGAAATGATGACGGACACGGAGTCGAGCAGATACGGGATGTCGACATCACCCCGGCCGCACTGTTGCAATTCCCCTCTCGGGCGACTGGCCACAATGTCAGCGCTGCGAAATCAGACGGATAAACGCGCACACATTCTCCCCTCTCTCTCCCTCACACACACACACGCGCGCACACACACATACACACTCCCTCTCTCGCTCACACATGCACACACAGCTACTTACAATTCCTTTATGAGCATTTTTTGGCGGTGCAGTAGCCTATATCTCAGAGGGGAGCAGCTCAATACAGGTCCAGAAACAGGGTCGATCCCTCCCTCCGTTAGTCTCTTCTTTCTCCGCTCGCTTCTCTCCCACCTCTCCCCCTCTATGTCATTCTACCTCCACAGTCGCTTATTTTCTTCAAATTCACTTCCTGATCGGGGCCGCGGCGCGGCGTTGCTGTTGCGCGCAGAGCACCGAGGCCTGTGCAGAGCAGACTACACACAGAAAAGGATGGTTCACAGGGAGCTGGTTGTGGTTGTTGTTTGTGATTGGTTAATAGAGCTGAGCCATAATGACTGAAAGGGCCAAACTGAGCCTAATTAATAAATCTAAGAATTTACAACGCGTAGAAAACTGTTTAAGTCTGCTGTTTGGAGCAGCTCATACTGACAATTTTTCACCCCATACGACTAAAACAGCCTTTTAGCAGCAAATTAAAAATAAAAATAACAGAATAAACAGAAAAACTAAATAGTTTTAAAATAAATAAAAATAGATGATAAAATAGCCTAATGGATAGATTAGAATAAAGAATAAAGTTCACATTCAAGTGTTTTTAAGCTGTAGATTTGTACAGCTAATAGGCTACTAATAGCTTTCTAAAGCTGAAATGAAATTTCGTTTCTAAAGGAATGGGGTCCTATATCATATATCCTAACTTTATTCAACCAGAAATGATGAATTGGATGAACAAAAGCTTGGAGAATCACACATAATTTAAGATTGATATAAACCCCCATAAACATTATATAGACTACCATAATAAGAGATGGGATACTCTATAACAACAGTGATTAAAAATATAAAAAAACAACCAAGCATCAGACAAACCGCACGAAATAAAGACATATAAATAAAATCATAATGATAAATAATACATAACAGGAAATAGCAAGGCTTCTGTCGTGATCCAGGCCAAATGAGTCCCCCTGAACCGTTTTTCTTATGAGTGTGCTACACCCTCTGCGTCATCGCAGTCACGGTGACGTAGAACCGTGGCTATTCACCATCAGAGTATATATGGGCATGGCACGGGGACCACCGGTGATGGCACAGACGCACGGTGCGTCAGCTCTCTAAGCCCCTTAAACAAAGTCCCCGCATCTAACGTGATTATTTGCATACAGAAACGCCAGACCCACTCCAGACACCTGCCACTGCTGACTGACATGTCATCGTTTGTTTTACATGACAACGACTCTCAAATACGCTTCCTACAGCGATCACATGTGAAGTGTAAGATGAAATCGTGGAGGAAATTACGCGTGTACAGTCATCCTCTCAGGCAGATGTGTCATTCTCTCAAGGACCCCTGGAGGCACCCTGGCCAACACTTTGCTCCACCATGCACGGGGTCTATAGGATGGTGCTGGCGCGTGATGCGATGACAAGGCGTCACAGGTCCCTAATCCAGTCCCACGTCCCGAGGATCGCGGGATGTGATTGCGTGTGTGTGAGTCTAAAATTATGTAACAGCGCACTGCTGCTGTATTTATAGCGCATCTGTATCCGTCTGCCAACATCCGCTTATCATCCCTCTGTCTTCTCATTGGAAGGGCCGCTTAGTGCGTCTAATAAATGTAGTATCTATCTATCTGTCTATCTATCTATTGATGTCATCTAACATCATCAGGTTTTCATTATAATTCCTACTAAAGATAACTTGACTTGTAGCCTATATGTCAATGGGAATAATTACAAAAACAAAAAAACATTGTGTTATAATAAGTTTAATATGCATGATTATGATTTGCCTGTTTTGATAGAGTGCGTTCTATTACTGTGCCTTTTATCTTTCCCCCGTTTGTCTCATTGCTTTGTATGATCTGATCAAGCAACAACAGAGAAACCCACTGTGGCTCATTATTTAGAGGTGTATGGTCAAATTGTTCAAGAGAACCGGATGTGACTGACCCACTACTTGCTTTACAGTGAGTTTAGAATCAACACAGAGACGCAGTGGTCTCACGTTGCGTCTTTGAACTGTGTTCCTGGACAAAACCAGCAGGGTCTCAGCCAGCCGGCCAACAATTTGCTCCTCCAGCAACGGCGGCACCAGGGCCAGCAGAGAGCTCCCGGGAAGCTGCTGTCCCTGATGTGAGTGACGCTGCCTCAGTCAGATCTCTTCTCAGGTGAAGAGAGAGGCTGAGGTGTCAAGTGATAACCATCTGCCGGAGTGTGGTGTCAGATGGCAGAGCAGTGCGCTGACAGGCCTGCTCAAACCAAACGTGTAGTGAGAATGTGCAGCGGGAACATCTGGTGTTAAAACACTTTAGAATTAGTCTTAACCTCACCTCCGAACAAGCTTCCTGAGGGGACGCGGAGTGAGGAGACAGTCAGTTCTCAAACACTGTTGTTAAAGCAGATTAGCACTTTTAAATGTGAGTGCATCCTGGATAAATGTAACACACTTTACATACGAACCATTCATATGGAACTGTATGGAAACAAAAACCTATCTCGATTCCAATAAGATCGAAAAGCACGTCTACGTGTGTGTCTGTTATTTGTCAGTGTATTTCAAAATCCTGATGTTTGTTTATCAAAAGTTCAGCAGAACATAACTGTAATTCAGTTGCAATTAGGCCTAAAGGGCCAAAATGTACCCTGGCTTCTTCATCATGTGTGGTGGCTGGGCCTCTAAATCACATGCTTCTAATACTGACCTCTGCTGGTTGGTTGCAGAACAACCTAAAACTCTATCAACTACATTTTTCTTAACACCTTTTCTGAAATTATACAGAGACCTATATTGCAGCCAGGTGAGCAGTGAAAAAAAAAAAACATAAACAGGGACAAACATTTTAAGAGATCAACACATTTTTTATTAACCGGCCACAAATTCTTCCACATTAAACTGGAATACCTGTATAACAAACATCTATGTTCAATGATAAAGGAAGAGCTCTATGCGAACAAGCAGTACACAACATGTGTGCGTAGTTGCCAGCACAGCAACATTTAAATACATCATGACATTTATGATGGAGAAGGTGAGTGTAAAATAAAAATAAATACACATGTGAAGGAGGGAGGAGCTGAAAATGAAAGTGGGCGTCAGGAGAGAAGTGCTAAACTGAGCTGATGTGTGTGGTATTTAAAGGGTTTTAACGCGGAATAAAGTGCTGCATTTCTTTTAATAGTAAGTAAATAAGCTGAATGAAATATTGACTTTAAGCAAAGGCATCTGAATGATGATGGTTTTATGGACACATGCCGATATACATTGAGTACATCTACATGTATAGGTAAGTTGTATTACCTACCCAAGGGGAGATAAAGTTCATTAGAACATGCTGACCAATGAACAAATCATCTCTTTTATATGAAAGTATATTCAAAGGGAACCTCCGGCAAACTTAAAGTATAAAAAGGAAACTAAACAAAGCAGGAAATAAAATAAATAATCTAAACATACATGAACATTTCGCTTTTAGCAAAACATGCCGCAGTTTGTTTGACGTCCCCCTTACAGAATACAGCCATATAAAACACTGACATTCATCCAATACTACAGTATACTCTAAGCTAAAGTAGTTTTATACTGTAATAAGATGTTAGCCTTATAAAAAAAAATCAAGAGAAAAAAAAGCCTCATCATTAATCATCATGACTGTCTTTTCTTCTCACTCATCATCAGCAATAAGGCTCGTCTCTCCTCCCCCTGCCTCCCACTCGTTAATGCCATTCAGTCCACACTTACCTTACACCCTCTGTCAAAAAGTCCAGCTGATGAATAGATAGGTAGCACCGTGTTATGGGATTTACAATCAGCATGATTTAAAGTCGGCACATTAAACACAAACGAAAACAATGGAATCACTCACTAATAAGGTTGGTAGTTGTGAGGGTGACGTTTTTGCAGTCTTGCTGGTTTCACAGGTGGAAATTCGTGGGCTAAACAAGCTTTCCTTTTTCCTTTTTCTGCTCGTATAGGGACTATTAAAGCAGTCTGGTGTGGAATGGAGCTGCACTAATGTGCCGCTCAGAGAGGAGGGAATAAAAAAAGAGAATTCAGAGGATTTGGGGGAATGCAGAGGGCTGATGCCTCTTTCCTTTCACAGTCTTTCCTCTCTCTTGTTCTTTTTTTTATTTATTATTTTCCCTCTCCACGTTTCACTTTTCTCCTCAGCAACTCTCCAAAAGACTCGTTTCCGTGACAACCGCAGCATCAGTTTATCTTGGTGGGATTTTGGCAAAATGGGGGTGGCAGTCTGTTTGTGTGTGTGTGTGTGTGTGTGTGTGTAATCGTTGGATAAATGTGATATTTAAGATTTCAGTTGTCCTTTTAAACGCGTATGTGTGCAGGTATCACTGGACTGCCAATGTTTCTCAGTAAGAAATCTTCTTCACTTGCTGTTCTCCGTTTCTCTTCATTTCCATTTTCTCTAGACGAAGGCCTCGGGGATGTCGGAGCCGTTAATTTTCATGTAGATCTTAGCGTTGTCCATCTTCTGCTGTTGCTCTCTGAAGAGCGTCCGTCTGTAGCAGATCAGGTAGAGAGGCAGCAAGAAGCCCAGCATACTGAGCACAAGGAGTCCAATATTGACCTGGAGGACAACACTAGAATTAGCCATGCCCGAGGGTTTCATTCGCGCGTGACAGTGTTTGAGTGTGTGCGTATACATACCCAGAGTGGGTCTCCCCCCAGGGGTCCCATCATAGCCAGAAATAGGGGTTGCTGCAGCAGAGCAAACACAGCACTGACCAGAGACTGCATGCCCGTCAGACTACCAAACTGGGAGGAGGGATACCTGGAGAGAAAGGAAAGGTACATTTAGTCTCTAAGTTTCAAGCGACATGCACACGCAGAGGACCAAGATGATGAAGATCATGATATAAATGTGTGTGATTGTGTGTGTGTGTGTGTGTGTGTGTATGAAGTTAGTGGTACTTTGGGGACTTACACAGCAGCATAGAGGCCACCGACAGCGGAGTGAATGAATCCTCTCACCACAGTGTGTAAGACAAATGACACAATCTGAGATAAAAGATAAAAGTAGAGGAAATCAATAATAATAGATCATTATCATTTAGGTGGGAGCCTCAAAGGAACTGGTCAACATTTTGGGACACATGCCTTTTGGCTTTTCTTGCAGAAAGAAGATGAATATCGCTCGCGAAATGAAACTGGAGGTGGTTTTGGAAACGGCTTGCCTGGCTCTGTCCAAGAGTAAAATCTTCCTCCCAGCACCTCTAAAGCTCAACAATTAATGTGGTATATCTTGTTTGTTTCATTTGTATCTACTCTATGCTAAGCTAGATAGATAGATAGATAGATAGATAGATAGATAGATAGATAGATAGATAGATAGATATTTTATTAATCCTGAGGGGAATTCAGGTTTATTTATCTCTCTGCATTAAAGTGAACCAGCGTGTTTCCCGAAATGCCAAACTATTCCTTTAAAGTTCCACATTATCACACATTATATGTAATTACACATAGTGATGCTGTTAGCTATGTTGACTTTTACATAACTGGCTGTCTCTGCTGCCAACAGCCTGTGAAAAGAGGCTAATCAGTAACTTTTTCTTTTTAAGAAAAACTTTGCTAGCAAGGCATCTCTGACAGCTGAAGTGCACCACTCACCTGCAGGGGGAGATTGGGCACTAGGCAGGTGATCCCGAATCCTACTAAAAGGACGTTTGTGAGGACGAAAGCTCGCAGGGCATTGGTCACCTTCTGGGTCTTTCTGTCTCTGGGCTTTTTCTTAATCTCCCCCCTTATGAAGGAAGAGAGGTCAGATGAGCACTGATATCACAACTCTGTTTTCACAATAAAAGTTCGTTCCTTGGTTCTATTCACCACACTGGCATATGTAAATATTAATGCCTGGGTCTATAAATGGAAAGGGGTAGAAACAGAGAGTTTACCCACCACTATTAAGGGGTTACTCAGACTTGACTCACTTGCTGCAGGGTTCCTTTTCCTCCTCTCCATCATCACAGTCCTTCAGCTTCCAGTCCATGATCTGACCAATCACAGGAGTGGTCATCAGGCAAAGCAGCTGCAGCATGCCAAAGATGGAAGTGTACAGACTCACTGAGAGGGAGAGAATGAGGATTAAAAGGTTGTAAAAAAAAAACAAAACAAACAAACCCAAACCCAACATTACAATATTAGAAATTGGGAAAAAATAAGAAAGGGGAAGGATTAGAAGGAAGGATAAAAAGATCGAAGTGGTGGAGGCTTCAGGTCTGTTTTCTAGCTAGTTAATGACTATGATGGTACAGTTAATTATTAGTCCTAGCTGCGGGAGCTACACACAACCAGATACTGAGTTAAAGGCGGTTCGAAAGTCAATATTATGCCAATATGCGGGGGATTTATGATCCATGGACTAATGATGAATGAAAAGTGCTCATATGATGTGTACTGTTTGCTGGTGCTGAGGGGCAAAGTTAGTTAATGAGTACAACAAATGGTACCTGGTGGTTTCAGATGAAAGCTGAATGTCAGCTGAAGGACTGGGTTATTGACATGAACAACAGCCAAAGTCAAATCATGAAATAACACTAAATAGCTATGACAGTTTTACAGTAAGTAGTGGAAGTGGGTTATTGGGGTGTGGTAGCAGACCTGTGCCAGACTAGAGGTTATATTATAATTGTTATTAACTTGACAGTTAATAATCTAATGGTTCAGTAAACTACTGATATAACTATAGGCTTTTAGTCTTACCAACTTCCATTCTCTCCACTGAAAATTCAATTAAAAGCAAGTCAGTTCAGCTGCTTTTAAGTCATGAATCAAAGTCACTTATTGATAGTCAGTGTCATATTCTAGATAAAGCAAAAAAAAGAAGAGAAGTTTTCATGTGTGTCTACACACACAGAGACACATATTCAAAGGTAGAACAACAAACCTGTGTTGAGGTCTCCATCACTGAGAGACTCCAGCACGCTGTTCATGGCCCCCATGTAGAACAAGAGACGAAGCTGAGTGACGGACATGGTGACCAGGCTGAGCATGAAGATCGGGCTGATGATAGTTTTCAAGAATGACTGGGCTGCAGAGGAGACAAAGGAGTAAATGACATGCATTAGGATGAGAAGCACAAAAAGACGGGGTCAACCTTTACTAAAAAAAAAACAAACAAACAAAAAAAACAGCTACAAATTCACATCAGGAGCTTTTCAATTCTGCACTCTTACACTCTTCCTGTGGCCTGCACTCCATTTCCAGGTCCATGGTGGAGAGGCAGAGCTTGTGGCCGTCCTTAGTGGCCAGCTCCTTCTGCTTCAGGCTGTTGCCAACACTCAGACGACGGCCCACGGTGGTCACTTGGCTGTAGAACTGCTTCCCTGTGATTTTGTGGTCAAAGCCCAGCCAGCTGAACTTGATCTTCACACTGAGAAAGAAGAAGAGGGCAGATGGATGAAAAGCGGGTGAATAAAGTGGGAGTAAAAGACAAGGGCGACAAGGGAGGGGGTCGTGGAGGATAAAAAAAAAAAAAAAAAAAAGAAGTTAATATCATAAATAGAAAACTCAGTCTACTGGAAAAATTTCCTGCTGAATCAGCCGGTTCAAAAACGTGATTCTAAGTGTGATCATCAGCAGATAGACTTTAACCTGGTTGCATTACATTGCACATTTCTGCACATATTACATAGTTATTTGTCAGATAGAGTCAATGATTTCTATAGCCACGCAATGCAAACTGTTCTGGAAACACCTGGATCTACATCTGGATGGGAAAGGCTGCACCAGAATGACAACGTTGACATGTAGTAACAGATAAAAAAGAAGATAGAATCGTGACTGCAACTACATAAAATCAGTGTGTATCTGCGGTACTAACCTGTAGTCCATGTCCTCTGGTCCTGGGAATGGTTCCAGTGGCCAGTTGAAGTAGCAGTTCAGGAAGACCAGTCCAGCACAGGCAGCCCACACCACCAGAATAGTGATGAAAGGTATGCCAAGGTCATAGATCACCTGTGCACATCAAAACACGAGCATTGAATGCAAAATACAGAGGAGACCACAAATATAAGAAGTCAGAAAGCGTTTCAGTGTTTTAAACCTGCTTCCGGATCCATATCTCCATCAAATTACACGTGTGGAAAATACTCACATTTCTAAATTCTATCTGCGAATACTGAGGCATTTATATAAGGATGACCATGTCATGTTACTCAGTGGTGGCAATATTATATCATATATTATATCATGTTTCCAATTGGATTCAAGAAGAGATATGGCAGGTTATGACTTTGGAAAACAATTCCAATAGAAGTTGGGCATTTGTCTATTAAAGTGGAACTCTTTCCTTCCCCAGTTCTGCTGACTGATGTGCTCAGCATGTATGCACTCTGTTAACATTATACTTTTATACTCTTTTTTTTTTTAGCATTCTATCTAAGGGTGTTGCGATATGTATTGACAATAACTGTGATATTTAAAAAATAAAACATTGTGTTAATAACACATATAGAATAATATCATAATGGCGGATGCTAGGCCTTGTGGATCTGGTTGCCTCTTCTCTATCCATTAAGTTTAATTGTTCTTTTCATTCGCGTTTGCACATGGTTACAGACTCTTTCTCCACCTCCCTTCACTCGTATTTGAATATAATGCACTTGCCAAAAAAGAGACAAAACACACAGTAAACAAAGTTAAAGATGAATTTGACTGCTGGCATCATTATTATTACTATTTTTCTTTTCAAATTTTCTGTAGATATAATGATAATATCGTTATTGTAAATTCTTTTGGCCACGATAATCGTACAGTGAAAATCTGACACTGTGACCGCCCTAATTTGAACTATTTACTGTGTTATTTAGTTTCATTTAATTGGATTGCAGCATGGAAAGATAGAACAATATATTTTTTTTTACATTATGTTTTAAATTTGGTGAAGACTGGATGACATTTATAGGAGTGGTGAAAAAACATAAGTTAACATATATCGTGTAAGTGCAGGTGTGCGGATGTGTGCAGCGTAAGTCAGTGATTGTTACCTTGACACCAGGGAAGGTGACAGCGGATGAGGCGTAGGAGCCGATCATCAGGGCGATGAAGGTCGAGCGGAGGTCCCCAAACATGTTAGGCAGCTAGAGAGAGAGAAATGAAAAGAGACAGATTAAGATTTCAGATTATCACATCATCACAACTTGTCCTAGTTATTCTTTTCTGAGCCAGACTTACAGGTTTTAGTGGAGATCTGCATTTTAACAAGCGAAACGAGCCATATTTCATTGTAAATATGAGTATAAAGGTCAGAGCATCTACTGCCAAGATCATCGTGGTCTCAGCTACACTCTAGCTGCTCTAAGCTTGAGGCCGCTGGGACAGATTTGGGACACTGTGAGGATGGTGCCCACTGACACTGGGGTCAGAGGGGACAGTGGGAACCAATTAGCATGCAGACATGGCTGTACAGAAAGAACATCCGAGAGAATACTAGCACAACAAAGTGACATGGAACACTTTGTAATATAAAACACCATCACATAACACACACAGCTGTCCAACACGGGACACGGACGACGCAGTGCTGGTGAATTCTATACAGCTGAAACAATCACAGAGGTCGACTGAGGAGAGGTGACATTCGAGGACAAAAGAGATGGACTGACGATAAAAGATGACGAGGGATGAGTAACCTACTAAGTTCACTCTCTCTGCCTTTTACATGCTTTGGGGAAAGACAAGAGAGAGCTGGGAGATACAACAGAGAAAAACAGGAGACAGCGGGTGACAAAACACCCGAATACAAAGGCATTCACAAGCTGTTCTGCTTTCAAGAGACTGAACAACAACAAGCACATTCAATTACATAAGAAGGAGGAAGCTGAGGAAGAGGTATGTGTTTGTGTCTGTGTCTGCTAAACTGAAAAAAGTTTGCACACTGAAGCACCCCAGTTTATCAGGAGTCCTTGAAAGAAAAAAAACAACTGCTCCAACGGATTTTTAAATATTACAGATACATCAGCAGCTGCTGGAAAGGTGAACAGACAACTGACATTTGGGCAGGGAGCCAGCTGTGGCTGCTGAGGGCAGCTGAGTGTTACCCAACACCCCTCAGCTGAGAATGAATGCCTGTAGGTCTGAGGTGAAGTCATAATCAAGGAGTCAAGGAGCAATGCAGAGTCTAATTATTAACCCAACACTGAAGCTTTCAAGTACAGTATGTCAGGTTGTGAAAGGGGATGAAAGGGGAAAACATGGCTTCATGGACAGACCCTGAAGGCTTCCTGGGGGCTGAGGCCTGCAGGAAAAGAGCAAAACAAAGCCCTAAATCATGGCTTTACTACATCGCTGACATTAAGGCAATGTGGCAGCAACAAATAAGGAATTTAGGTGGACGCAACTGATACCACATAGGAGACGAAAGACGTAGCCTGTGGTGGTATAGAAAATAGAGTGTTTTATTGGGAGATTTAATGGAGGAGAGCCCCTCTCTTGTGAAAAGCATCACCATGGTACAACCCCGGACTCCTGTGTGTGTCACTGTAGGCTGAACTGATGGCAAGGGGGGGGGGCAGGAGGATGAAGAACAGCAGGGGGAAAATGCAAAGGAATGGTGAGGGAATGACCCTGTGAACTCTACGAATTCCCACTTGTTTTTCCGTCCCTGTGTCTTTTGTGGGTCTGCTCCGTCTTAAAGGGGAGCTCCACCAATTCTCCACAACAAATTCTGTTTACACGTCTTGGGGAGCCTGCAATTAACAGTGTAAATTTGTTATATGTATCAGGAGCATATAAAAACACTTACTAGTTCCTACTGATACAATGGAAGACAATAGAGAAGAAGTGAGTAACATTTGGGAATTTTAGGGAAATAAATTGAACTTTGAAGGCTACAGTACTGGAAACAAGTTTCTTCTAAAGTATCCAATTATTAGTCTTGTTTATCATAGTCTACATTGAGGCACCAGTAGGAAGCAGTAAGTATTAGACTTGTACCTGATTTGTGCAATGAAAATTACACTGTAAATGACGGACTGTATTATAAAGTGTGACCGACGGCCGTTCGAAGTCCTCTGTGGCTCCAAGGAAAGCCGTGCGAAATCTGATTCTGCCTCAAATGATGTCACTTGAGTCAGTGATGGTTGGGTCTGAGGACTACAAGTGTGAAAATGAAAAACATGTGGAGGCTCGCCATTAGAGCTTTACCAGCTGAACTAAGCTGTCAGTTGCATTGTGGGTAATGTGGGCACCTGTTTTTTTTTTTTTTTTTTTAACTGTCCATTGGGGTTTTGAAAAGGCTTGTACTTTTTTTAACTTCCCCGTAAACATCAATCGAACCCCAAAGGGTAAAGTCATTTCCAAAGCATGAATGGGAAACTGACTGAGGGGTCTTCATGATTAATGCCTCTGATTGTTGTTCTTTCTTTTTCTTTCAACTTGCTGCACAACGTAAAATTCGAGCCGTTGTAGCTGCTAGATCTGCTCTTGCTATGATGTTCTTGCAATACTAAACGCAGTGGACAGTGATAATGAACCAGTGCGTTACTTTCCCCTCTCCTCCTCTCTCTCCAATCAGTCCCTGCTCCCTGCTATCCAAAGCTGAGGCCGATTGTCCACGGGAACACAGAGAGCAGCGTAAGCAGCCAAAAACCAAAAAACCCAAAACAAATAAAAAAACAACAACAGAAAAACATAACAGAGCACAACAGGAGACAGGGTGGAATGCCAGACGGGGGGGGGGGGCAGACAGGGAGCCAGCAAACTATTATAACAGCACTAACATTGACACAAAACACACTATGAAGATAGAAAATATACATCTGGACAAACACTATGTGACAAGGCTTTGCAGTGGTGGTGGGTGGGGATTCAAAGCACACGCAACTGTGCACTCACTTACTGTGAGAGAGGTGAAGGTCATGCACATGCCCCCAAAGCCATTGAAAGTCAGCGCAATGAAGATAAGGACAGAGAGTTCTGCAAATGACACACATTAGGTCATGAGTCAAGAACCACACTACTAAACAAATGCAGTTTAAAAATGAAGGTACACGTGGAGTCTGCGGGCAGGCTTACCGTTTGGTTTGTAGGCTCCATAGGCAATGAGGAGACAGGACAATCCAAAGCACGTGCTGAAAATAGATGAACGCCTTGTCAAACCCTTCTAATGACAATTTAAATCGCATCAAATTGCTGCCGAAGAAATAACATCCAGAATACTTAGGTTCCAAGTCAAGTTCAAAAGACACCATAGTTAGTCTGGATCATTTCTTCTCCTTCCTTGCTTACCTGCCCAGCAGTCGTAGCTTGCGAGGCCCATATTTATCCATGACGATCCCCAGCGGCAGTGTGATGGCTGAGAGCAGGAAGGAGCCCACCGTGAAAGCCAGGTTCAGCATCTCATCCTGCTCTTTACAGATCAGCCAGCCGTTCATCCTCAGGGGCCCGTCAATGGGGACAAGGGGTCTCATCTCCACTCCGTCGCCCAGACCAACCACGGCACCCTCACTTTCGTAGTAGTCATACTCGTCGGGTGCCGGCGTCGCCTCGATTTGGGACAGATTGTAGCTGGAGCTGTTACCTAAAGAGCGTTATGAAAGCGGGTGGAAGATTAGACACATTTTGGAGTATGACAACAACAAAAACAAACATGTGAGATGAGGTGATCCAGGTTGCCAAAACGTGACCATTTCATTTAGGAGTCACATGTCTTATTTGATCATACTGATGCGAAAAAAAGTTCTGCGAAAAATCGTATGAGTGTGGAAGATTGACTTCAGCCGCTCCTATAGACGCTTTGGCGCAGGGAGCCGTGGGCTTCTTGTCATACAGATGAAATCTGAAGGCGGCGGTTCTGCTTATTCACAGGATCATGATACATCAACACATAGTGGTCTCGCGTGCACTGATCACGTGCAGAATCAGGGTGTATGGAAAAACTCAAAGTAAAAACCTATAACATCATATCATGTGCCAATCTGCTTTTACTGAGATGCTGTTTGGATTTTATTAGTAGCCTACGTTGGAATGCCGGGGATATAAGGTGATAAGGTGGAACTGGCAGTAAACTTCTCATTATCATTAGAACCTGCAAGATAATGTGAAAAAGTACAAAAGTTCAGGTTGAGTCCAGCGAGGAAAAACGAAAGGAGCAGCAGTTTGGAGACTTTATTGCTCATGTATGAGCTGATGATTTCTGGATTTTCTCCCTCGCCTCTACCGTTTTCCTTTCTAGTCATAGATGGCAAGTATTTGTGTGGTATCCTTGTGTGAAACACCATGACGTGCTTCATAACAAAGTGGCAAAGTCTCCCTCAGGAAACCAGATCGTACACGTTGTTAGACACTGTGGAGCAAGGCCGAAGGGGGACAGCTGGTTGGCAAAGCGTCCGAACATGCACATATTTGGTGTTGTTTGGCAAGTGTCGCAGGAAGATTCGATTGGGCAGGGCGATGCAAAATGAATAGCTCGACTGTTCAAAGAAAACACACATTAGTTTTTTTTTTTTTTTTTCTCATCCTCGGACTCTGACAAAATAACGGCCGGCATTAAGCGACTGGCACCAAGCTTAACGGTCACATTATCTGCAAAATGCACTCTTGTTGAGTGGCAGGGAAATGTGTGGGTGTCTGTGGCTCAGTGTGGGAATGAAGCTCGCAAAGAAAAAGAAAAAAAAACAGGGATGAATCCCAAGATTTAGAGAGCAGACTAAAAGAATCATAAATCACCTCGCATATAAAGTGTTCCTTTACTGGCCTTACAGACTGATAAGCAGCAGCAACGGGCAAAGGTGATCAGTACAGTGTTGAAACAGTCGGTGAGGTGGTGAAGGTGATTAGTGAAAAATTGTGGTTAATGAAGGAACAGTGTATGATGTCTTTTTTGCAATGACATTTCCATTTCGATGAAATTTCATAAGATTCTGTGGAGCTGCACATGTACTAAAAGGTGTGACGCTCTCTATGAATTCTAGGGAGTATATGCTTTAACTGTGTTTAAGAGTAAATGAAAACCCTCAAACGTGTATAAAAATGTGCAACAAGTGTAAAAAAAAAAAACTGTCATTTGACCAACTTATCTGAAGTGAGGCAGTGCCCATATAAACCTGAGTTTTAACCATCCCCCTCATATATCTGCTGCATAAGCACAAAATCTCCATCTGCACCGTTGTTATCTGTCCTTTTTGTTTTTACTGACACCCCACCCACCCCCCTTCCTTCCCAGTTGTCTGATTTCTACTGTTCATCACTTTACTATCAGTCTCTTCCCTGCCCTTTATCAGTGGACTTTAAGCTTCCATATTACCAGTAATAAAATCCCGCTGTGGATCTCTCAGTCCCCTCTATCACATGTCACATGCCTGAAAAGAGCTGAGCCGGTACTGCTGTGCTCTCCCTCTTACATCATCAGCACAAGATAAAGACGACTGTGGCAGCGCTCCAGGAAGTCACCTACAGTGGTGGATGCTCAACTAGGGGGTGTGTTCCTGTGCACAGCATCAGCATTATTTAATATGCTATAAAATGTTGTACTGTTGAGTAATTAGCCTTGAGCAATAGAAGGTCAATGGTTGAATTTTAGAATCTGTTACTAGTGATGCTGAATGACCCTTAAACATCGAGCTGGAAATATATCCTCCTACAAACCACCAGCTAGGTGAATCAATTACTCTCAACTCCTGAGAAGACAGGCCGGCTACTCAACTGAATCCCACCAATAGTCTGGTGTCTTTGGACAGTGCTCATCACAGTCAGGCAGCATGGGGCACGACACAGTGTCACCTCAGGTCCAAAGGATAAGTCTGGCGTGATTCCTCTGTCTCTCTCTTTTCCCCTTGTGACCACTCTCTTTTAAAACGACCTGACTGGGGCTATTGTGTGCATCACTTCCACCTTTGTACTTGAAAACACTTAATAAGCACTTGCCTCACCGTGGACGGGGAGAAAAAGAGAAGACAGGACAGCTGATCTAGCCCATTATTGGTTTATCAGTTGCCTCCGCTGCCACTTTAGCTGGAGTCGCTGTAAATTAAAAAAAAAAAAAAACTCCAGGGGGCAAGTAGAATGAGATACTGTTAAGTTTATGAGACAGTGGAGCCTTTTAGTCTTTAACTTTTTGACCACTTTGCCGACCTGTAACCCTGCGCTCTTTCTAATTGAACTTATCAGGTTTAATCTCCTGGGTCCTCATGTCCATTCACAGAAAACACTTCTTGTTCCCAGAGAATGGATGGAAGAGGCAGGAGAGGAGCAGTGTTCAGTTACGTCTCTTAAGTAAAAGCTTGCTCCCCTCTTTCACCCTAAATCAAGGTGCCACTTTACCGACTGTCCCGGTACCCATCTCCCTCAAGTCCTTACATTAAGTTCTGCACTATAACCTCATGAAGACAGATGCTCAAGACCATTTACTTAAAGGCAACTGCTTTTCCATCAAGAAAAAAATCTAGGCAAAAGTCTGGAGATATATGATGGAACAGGCGACGTAAAAGTAAAGCCTGTTGGTCCATGATTCCTTTGTCAACACAGAAATACAACAGTTGTGACTCACCCTCCTCGTTGCACATGTACGAATAGAAGCCCTCTGACTTGAGCATGATGAGGAGCGATCCCCATCCCAACAGCACGGCAGAGAAGAGCAGATTCTCAATGATAGCCGTCACCGCCATCCACCAGCGCCTGGCGAACGCTGTGGCCAGGGTCGGAGCCATGGTTTGAGGGAAAGAAATTAAAGGCAGGGAAGAGCAAAGAACCAGAGGGAGACAGATGGAGGGAGAGAGAGAGAGAGAGAGAGAGAGAGAGACCACCAGAGAGGGAAGACAAGAGCAAGCTGGAAGCGCAGAGAAGAGCCTCCCTGACTGACACTCAGGATGAGGGATCACTGATCACTTATCTGTGAAGAGGAAGGCACAAGAAGAAGGGGGAGGTTTTATAGTTAGCCTATCACCGAAGTTACTGTTAGACAGAAGGGTTCAGTTTACATCACAAGATAAAACCACTTAACTTTGAACCTAACTGAAGATAACTAGTTGTACTGTATGAAAAAAGTGAAGAAAAAAAATCGGTGAAGTCTGTGACTAATTAAACACGTGCTCTGTTTTCGGAATGATTGAAAATCTCCCTTCTAATTAGACACAGAGGAGAGATAATGGCACTTGTGTTAAGTAACTAAAGTAACTAATAGTAACAATGTGTGGCGAATTATTAACCCTCCTGCTAGTACAAAGATCATGACATCACTCTGCTGCTGCGACATCCCATTACAGGCACTAATAACTGAAGAAGAATCCATGGTGGCATCACTGTGTCTTTCTGCTGTTTTGCTGGAAAAGGCAAACTGGTCCAAACTGGACTCTGAGAGAAAAGTGGGGCTCTCTCACTGCTCCCTCACCCCGTGGCCCCCTGTCTCTCCCCACAACTCCCCTTAATGTCCTCTCCGGCTCATCCAACCGCAACTTTCCTCTGCAATTACTGTGGTGCATCCAAAACATAAAGGAGCTGCCAGACAAACAATTAACAAATCCGTTCTCTCAAACACACACACACACACACACACACACACACACGCACGCACACACACACACACACAATGCTGTACATGCACCCACACACAATCTGTTCAACCAGTTTGATGAAAGTGTTTGCAGAGTGAGCTGCAGATCTCATAGAAAAATAAACAAGCAAGTGAACATATTAAAATTGCGGGTAGCCTGTTTCTGTGTGTGTGTTGTTTCACTTAATTAAAGAGACAAACCTATTCCCATTATTCATTCAGTCTCCTACCACGCAAAACAAATTACAGGAAGCTACACAGGCAAATTACAAACTCCTTTACCTCTCCACGCTGTATGCAGCACCATCCAGCCTCAAACTTCCAGATGTACTCCGGTCAGCTTTAAATGGCCAGTTATCTGTGAAAAGCCAGGTTTATATACTCAGGCTGCCTTCACGTGGCGCCCCCTATTGACCATGGGACTGTCTGATGTCTGCACCCCAGCCAATCAGCACTGAACAACAAACAGGCCCAGCACTTTGATATTTGAATAATGATGCAGGCAGAGTCAGTTTGAAGTCCTGTAGATGATTTTTTTTTCTATAAAACTTAGTTTAATAGTACAGCTGGACTGAGGAGCAAATAAACAAAAAAGTCTTTGTAAATAAGAATGACAGTTTGATTTTATCAGTCATTGTTGGGAATGGGAATGGGGATGGGGAAGTTTTAAAGCACTTTAACTGGGTGAATGGAGGTGAGTGGAAAGGATTAATCAAGTCAAACAAAGTCTGGTTGAAAACATAATGGACTTTTGCAGATAAGGATGCGTGGTGGCTATCAGCAGCACGTCTGGTTCAATAACAGGCACTGATAGAGAGCAGGAGGCAGACTGGGAGCGACTGGTGACTCCTCTGTTTCAGTCGTTGCGTAAACTGTTTACTGATGTTTACCGTGCTTTTGTTTAATGTTTACCGGAGTATGATCTGCTGAGGTTGTGGCTACACGCAGACTGAGGGCAGCACTTGGCTGATCTCAGCCTCCATGGAGTCCATTAAACCGGATGCTTGAATCGGGTGATTTATGGTCACTAATGAGTCATTTTTTTCTCAATATGTTGCAGAGGTTTAATCCCTAATGCTGCGTTCACTTGCACCAAATCTGCATGATCAATAGTCCTGCTGACTGCCCCATTTAGTTCAGTGGAAATTCATTCAGCAGGTGTTTAAGTTGAGTTTTAATTTCCTTTTTTCATTAAAAACATCTGGACCATCAGTGTATATGTATGTATTTTGACTATATAATAGACTATGTAATAATCTATATAACCAGACCACCCCCAACCCTTGCTGCTGTTGCTGCCTGTGTGTGGATGCAGAGACACTGCAGGGGTTGGGTGTTTGTCCTTGTGTACTTCCTACTAAAACATGTTGAAAATTCAGCTGTGAAAAATGTAGGAAAAAAATAGGAAAAATGTTCCTATGGAATAATACAGTAGTAGCCTATCCATTGTTTGGATCCGTTGCTGTACCTCTCTGTGGTGATGCAAATTGAGGATAAATTTCTAAAATCACAATTTACTGTTCACTCTTGACTGTATTACATAGGGAGTAGTGAATGAGTGAACAGATGACTGAATTCACACACAGCTTATATTTTATAAGCTTGTAAGATGTTAAAGTTAAAGATAAAGATAAAGTTTTTACCATTAATTTCTGCAGATGAAACCTCCTACGTGGATTATAACAGCTGGCAGGTTAGTTACGCATCTTTGCTGTCTCTACTGTAGCCGTGAAAGCGGGCAAAATGTCCAGCAAGTCCAGAAGTTGTGACGTTAAAAGTGTGTTTGGCCGTTAAGTGTATCTTCACCACCCACACACTGTATTGTTCCAATATGTAGAGATGTGGTAGAAAAACAAGGGTTTGGCTCTGAGTGCAAGCAGCTGCCTGGTGGTCAGGATTCACATGAGGGGCTGCTTCCTCTCTCGTCCAGTCTTATCTTAAATGTCTCACCAAAAACATTGAACCTTTACTGTATTGTTCTCTCTGCATTTAAACTGCTGTTTGTTTTTGCACACAGCTAGACTAACTCTGTGTAAAAGATAGTAAATTGTTACACTTGAGGAGGATTTTCCAAAGCCTGGCAACCGAAGTCGTCCTTTTTAATGGCTCATAAGTTATCTGACTAAAGCATTGGTAAATGATTGTCAAATGATGATTAACCATTAATGAAACTATTAATTACATTTTATAAACCCTTTATGAATAGTGCCTCATCACAAAATGGTTCTTCCCATTAGTAATAAATTTACATTATTATTATTATTTTTTTTTTTGAATTGAGGTTATATTGTCTGCAAACTGAAAACCTGTTTTCCATGCTGGAGACTACTGATTATCCATAGTATTATCCAGTGTATTATACTGAAACTGTAATCAATATTCAAATTAACCACTGAGTGAACAGTGAACCTATCTAACCAAACACTGATATGGTCATTTGTGCTGTTACTGTGATCAGCGTCTCAGATAAAAGGTAAAAACCAAATTTGAAATTCAGCTTTTGATCTTGCTTCCTATAAAACCATCTATGTTGATGGGGCATTTGATCTATCAGTACTAGATTAGCCAATCAGACTTTAAATGATAAACTGACGTCACATTGTTGGTGATGCTACAAGTGGATTTGGAATGTAACAATTATTTATAGACTCATTATAAAAACAAACATTTCAAATACGATTATTCTTGTGCAGTGTCTGTTCATTTGTCAGCAGGATAACGCAAAAAGTACTGAACCGACTTTCACTGAACTTGGTGGAGGGATGGTGCACGAGCCAGGGAAGAACCCACTAAATTTTGGGGCAGATCCAGATCATTTACTGTGGATTTGAATTTTTTTTTCTCTGGGAAGTCTGGTGTTTGTGCTCTCTGAGTGCCCTTCTAGTTATTGCCCTGCTTTCTTTGCATCTTGCGGCACTGAAATTGAATTAACGCCACCTTGTGGTGTTAGATGATGCTTGCATCACAGTGAAAAGAACCACTGATACACAAGTATCACAATGTCTTTAATGTACATTCATAACTGGAATCAAATATTTGTTTCAGCAGTGCTTTGCAAAATCCACAAAACTAACAACATCAAAAACAGTGCAACATGCCAAAAAAAAAAAAAACAGAACAACATAGAAACGATCCTAGTCCTAAGAAATAAAACGGTCTTTTCACATGATTGTACAGTTGCTGATACATTTTGTCTGGTCTGAACATTGCTTAATAGTTATATACATAACTCCAAGCAAACACATATTCAATAGTGATTTTGTCCCTGGAGTTTTTAAGTGCATTATTGTGGTTACACACATAAGTCCAGTGTCTTCTCATCAGTGTAGTCCACATACAGCCAAAAGACAAAGTGCCAGTGAGAGCAGCAGCATCTTTATGGAACCTTCACTTCCTGGTGCTGCGGCAGGAAACACAACAAGATAAGAGGGAGGAGGAGGAAGTCAGTGAAAGGAGGAGAGAGACATTAAAGTAAATGATGCAACATTTTACAACCATGACCTCCTGTTACATTCATTTTTAGCAACAAAATCTGTGCACAACCTGAGTCAAAACCATATATATATATATATATATATATATATATATATATACATTTGTTCTACTTTAGGGCTTTAAAACAGGTGGCACCGATACAATAAATCGCCCATGGAATAGTGAATAGTGAAAAACCTGTTTTCCAAGCTGGAGACTACTGATTGCCCATTTGCAGTGCTTTATACTGAAACTGTAATCAATATGCAAATCAATCACTGAGTGAACAGTGAACCTATCTAAACAAACACTGATATGGTAATTTGTGCTGTTACTGTGATCAACGTCTCAGATTAAAGGTAAAAAAAACCACCAAGTTTGAAATTCAGATTTGCTTTTGATCTGGCCTCCTATAAAACCATCTATGTGGCATTTGATCTATCAGTCCTAGATTAGCCAATCAGACACTAAATGATCAACTGATCTCACATTGATGGTGATGCTACAAGTGCATGTACCTATCTAACAGTTATTTACAGACTTCAAATTGATTATACTAGTGCAGTGTTTTATTTTCTGCACCTTATCAAAAACATTTATTGATCTGATCAGCTCCCTTACATCATACATGATAGACAATATTTTCAAGACAGGACTCAGTTGTCTGTCATGTAACAGAACTATCACAGTATATTTCCATAAAACATTACATTAATATTTTATCATCCCATTCAAAGTTCATGTCATCAAGAGTTTATCTTCTGCACTACATCTTTCAGGCCTGGCCCAAATATTTTTCTGTTCAATACTAAGACAGATAACATTTAACAAAAACATTCCACATCCGTTACGTAACAGCACAGACAGAGAAAGTCCATTACTTGCTGTCCTACTTTTGACTGTTGAACTAGACAAAAAAATGAATGGTATGCTTTGGTTGTGACCAGATAAAATGTAACTATTAAGGGTCTTAAACGGCCATTTTAGTGGTTATGCATGTTTTACCCTATTTACTTCAAAGCCCTCATGTTTCACATCACAGCTAACCATTTTACAAACCACACAGCTGTGTATTGTATCAGAACTTTAATTTAGGATGTATTGTGTGCACAGTTCCAGACTTCCATTGGTTTCTATTCATTTCTCTCAGAAACCAACATCATTACTAGAAGTTCATAAAGTATTAACAGGAGGGAAATGTTGGAAGAATTGTGATACTTTATGATTAACATAACCATCTTAAAGGGAAACTGTATTATCCTGAATAGAACTTTTCCATTATTGTGTCTACTTTTAAGACAGGAGTTGTCAAAGAGGAGTGCAGTGATCTTCGCTGTTCCTCCTAGCCACTACACCCAAACATTAGCTATGATAAGGCATGAATCGAGTCTCTATTGTGTCTGTCTCATTTCAGCAACGATGTGAGGTCACTCTCACATATTCTGTGTATAAATTATGTGTGAATCTTGCATTCTTTGAACATTTGCATTGCAAGCTCTTGAGTGTAACTTGTTCCCTTGCTGCAAGAATAAATATCCTACTCTTATAATTTTCAGACGGTGTTCCTGAGTTTATTTGATAATTTTCCTAACAAAATAAAATGTAAATAAATATATATTATTTAAATAACAAAAGCAGATTACTTAGTTAGATCAAATGTATTCTGAATTGAATCAATAATAAATGTAGATTTAATATTATGTAATGTTTAGGTGCTTACCATGTGAAGAGTTTTCTGGAAATGAAAAAGACAAAAAGTGAGATATTAGACAAATCCTCTTCAACAGCAGTTCAAACCCATGTGCATGCTAAATATGTACATACGCACCTTTGATGGTGAAAGTGGTCTCCATGCCAGCGTG